GATTTACTAGACAACTGCTGCAGTTTGTTGGCAGTCAGCTGATAAGGCCGACTTCGGCCGCTTTTTATTTGTGTTTCCATCGACAAGCTAATTAATTCTGTCATCAATATTTTCCACCACCTACAACACTGACAGCCAAATTGAATCATTAAAAGTCAACAGTGTCAAGCGAATTTATCTTTTGCTTGTTTTAGCCACATTCACTGTTCCCCCAGCTCATCTGTCAACTGCTGGGGCTATGATTGATCGACCAGTTAATCGGTATCCGATATTTTCCCGAAAACATTCATCAATTTCCCTCAATTATCTTAGCCCTTGAGTTGTGTGCTGAGACAACACGGGAATTGCATTTAATTTGGGGTTTAACTGGTTTCTAGTTTAGTGCAAGCCAAGTAATGAACTAAGTGCAAAAAATTAAACACAGAATGCAGAACGTCATAATCACATCCCAATATTATTGGTAAGCTAACGTGTGTCTATACTTGTTAAGAGTTCTAGCCATAAATATTACTGCCTGGTAACCAATATTTGACAGCTTCATATCTTTATGATCATCGGTTAACACACTCTCGATTAGATCCCAAACCGAGTTTTTACTTTAATATTTGCCAAGTGCATGAGGTCACACTTAATATTAGTCGATCTTTCAGTAATGAGATATTTCATGTGTGGATCAACGAACTTAATTTACTATTTAATCTGAAGTGTATATCTTGTGGACTTGTGCCCAACTTCCGGTCAGCTTCAAACCATTAGGAAGACCATTATAATCAAGCTCTCCAAGCATGATCTTGAGCACGTACTCGTGTTTCCCACACTTCCATCCCAGTTCCCTTTTGTTTGCTCATTGAGCTTCGCCTTTTTGGCGTTGTGGGTCAATGTTAAGCCAAGCCAACAGGTTTGGCCAACACAGGAAAGCGAAAGCATCAAAAACTTTCATAAAAAACGAATTAAAAATAACAGATATTAACTTGGGACAATTACAAATTTGAGATGTTTAAACAAATCTTTTAATCGCTTGCTAAATGGCCGATGTTTGGAAATTGCCAGATTAAGAAATGCTTTTGCCATTGACCCATTGGGACAAAGCTGTTCGCTAATAGTTCCCATAAATTTCTTCGACACCTATTAGACACAATTTCTGAATCGATTCAAAGAGTCTTTATAATTGCCCCAAATTTAGATAAACTGTCTCTGGCAAACGTTTTGGCCATGGACTATATCAGAGAGAGTTTGTCGGGCGTCTGGGTTTGGGTATAAAATTGTATATATATATTTATGAAACCTTGAGTTCTGGCAATCTTAACTGAAATAGTCGCGAATTGTGGGATTTTTGTTTGGCTCATATCATATCGGTCTATAAACGGTTCACCCTTGACAAGCTAAAGTGTATTTTCGCAGCCCAAGTTGGACATTGCCATTAACAAGATCTCGAGTGCCTAAAACAAAACGAAGTTTCTAAATTCCCGAATATTGATAAAGCTGATAGTATCAGCTGATTGCAAATAAATGGTAATTCTCAAAAGGCACTTTTCTGCGAAGCACTCAAGACTCTCAAGGTTAACTTTCCCTTATCTCAAGATGGAACTTTGTTTAATATAATTATGATATAAAAATCTATAAAAAATAGAAAACGTCCCTCAGGTCGGTCTCATTTACTTCTACGACCTCACCCGATTCTACTTTTTTCCGGACGTGACGATTCCAAAGCAATTAGCCCAAAGTCGTCTAAACCACGTGCTGCCATTAGACATACACCCATGTACTGGCACTGGTATATCCAGGTATATAGCTAACCATATGGAGAGCAGTCAGACGGGAGGATTCAGAGCTGGGGGTCCGATGAATTCCTCTTACTACGTGTGCATTCCATGAAATGGCGTTTGTTAAACTCGCGCGAGATACTGTAGTTTGAATTTGAGCATTTCGCAATTACATATCTTTATTTACCTTTTTATTTTCTCCGTTTATTTCTTTGGACCTACTGTATTTTGTTTTGGCACAATTTGCTCATTTAATTGGTTTTGTTCGCCTGCCCCGATGCGCTCCTTATGATTTGCGAACGTGCCAGGTCACGTAGGGCTAGTCAAGATGTTTCCAGTTTGTCACGCAGCGTTGACAATTTGGCGATACCCGTGCGCAGGTAAGTTGCAACTAACGATTCCACCTCTCCACAGAAACACCCACCACCCACCACCCACCACTCACCATCCACACAAATGCAAATGAGCCAGAGCCACACACTCACTATATATCATATATATATATATGTATATCTGATATATGTAGAGAAAAAAGCCTATGCATGACATAATTATCCAGCTGTGTCTATGTCTCCATATGCATGTTGAATGTAGCATGGCCTGACTGTACTTAACCCACCTGCATGCTCATAATTGATAACCTATGCACTTGTAGAATTAAGCAATAACTATATATACCGATTTGAGTTTCAGCGAATTGTGACCATAACTCTAAAGCCAATTTGGCAATTTATGAACTTTCGAACAGGCCAATCGATTGCAACAATAAATTACCTTTGCGGTTTGTAGAAAAGTTAAAAAAAGTCAAGCAAAAAACTAAATCGAAAACGGCAGGCAGCAAATATTGATAATTTATAAAGCCAGCGGTCTGTGCTCAAATTACACTCGCTCCCAGATTATTTATAGATAATCTTAATGTTTGCTGTCGTCTTATTAACGATTTTTGATAATTTATAAGTCGCGTGTAAGTGTAAATAAATGGCTGATGTTAATTGATACAGACAGATAAAATCCGCGCTTCGAAGGGTGTTAGATAAGGCATTATTCTTGGGTTAGATTTCTGATCCCGTACTTAAACCTACCCCAAGAAAAGGCCATAACCTTTGATGAGTCACGGCAAGACATCAACAATGAGTAAAGTCATTTTATTATCAATTTCACAACTGCAATAATCGCCAATAATTCGTGTTATTGTGTTCCGCACATTACGTATACGTAGTAAAACTGAGTCACTGTCTGAGTTCGACTTGGACAGTCTACGATTCGATCCATCAGGTAGTAGTAGTAGCAGTAGCGGTAGTGGTAGTAACACCCCCGTGGGTTGTTGACATTTGGCTTCGTGGAACTGTGCCAGTGAAACGACTACTGTTGCCTTTTTTCGGTGCTCATGCCACTGATCGCAGCCCAGGGCCACATTCCCGAAGGTAAACAATGCACAAGAGCGATAAGATACATACGAGTATGATCGAGCCCTGAATGATTGGCTTTATGCGATGCCCCCTGGCTATCAATGACACACCGCATTCCTGCCACCTTTATTTACAACACCTCGAGTAGTAATGCAGCCACTTTATAGCCAAGTTTGTGGGAAATATGGAAAAAATCACGGGAATTACTCAAATCAGCCATAGGTTATATTATTTTTTATTTTGTGTGTCCAACTGGTTTATGCGGAAGCGTGTCTGTTAGCCATTTAAAAACTAGCCGGCGATTAGTTACAGTGATTAGTGAAGGTAATCAGTTAGGCAGTGCCTAGTGATGTCTCAATCAGAGATAAAGAGATTTGGCGAAAAGATCTAGAGTAAATCTATATGAGATATTAGTTTTAGCCACTTCTGATATTTGGATCGCCTTGCTTTTGCTGACCTCCTCGGCAGCCGAATAGAAGAATGCGAAAAATATATTCAGCCTCCGAAAATAATATTTATGTCATTTACAATTATTCGTGTTTACTTGCTGAACAAACGCGAAATATTTTCCACATAAAGGCGAAAGCCAACTGTGCAAATGGGATTCTATGCTAGGTCGCTGTCTGAACTCAATTTAACTGGCTAAATAACTCAGCTCAACTCGTCGTCAAATGTGGCCAACTTAAAACCAAACACAGTTGTTTCAGCCCAGAGTTTGTTTTTGCAAGGGTTTTTCACTGGAATAGGCCTCCCTCCATACGTGTGTTAGCTTTTTCAGCTGCGCGGCTTAGCAAAGACTTTCCATGGAAAATTCTCATTTGCAAATGGCTAGCTGGCAGATATGGCTAGGAATTAAAAATGGGGAAAACAAATATCGAAGGTGCCACAAATATGCGTTAAATAATTATTTAGTATTTGCCTTCTTTGTTTATCTCCGAACAAAGGCAGTTCTGCTTCTGCTGCTGCTGCTGCTGCTGCCAGCTGAAAACTCCCGCTCGCATATTTATTTTTTATCATTGATATTCAATTATGGTTATCGCCGTTTGCCGCTAATTGGCAACGCAGTGAAAAGACACGCGCAAATAAATTTTTATTATTTCCAAGGGGAGAGGGGCCGCACTTGATCGGCAGAAGGAGGGTTCAATATATTTACTATTTATATTGGTGAACATTTCTCCCCTCTGTCAGTCCTCGAATGCGGTTGTCACTCACTTTGTTGTGATACAACTATCTTGCCGCAGGAAAACTTATTTTCCCGCTCGAAGTCGTAACGGAAATTAGTTTTGCCAATCAAAGGGGACCGCAATAATAAAGAAAATTCCGATGCTTATGTACATGAATGCATAAAAAGGGAAAATCTGGGAATATGTATGTATGTGACTGAAATTCAGCAGTTAAATACAGCAAAAGTTTGATGACATTTTTAAGAATCTGGCCAAACATGTATAATTCAATGATAATATCTACTTAGATTTACTACAAAGAAAAATACAAATAAAAGCTCATAAAAGGGGAAAATCCTTAAATAACAAAATGTATGACAAACCCAAAGGCGTAGGTGTGACAACGAACACCGAGTTTATCTATTTAGGAAAGGTAGAAGAGAAGCTAACTTTGGTCATATATCAAGACGGTAGTAAAGTAATTCTTGCTTGCCAACTATAGATAACTCTTGGCTGATTCCAAGGGGTTCTGGGGAGGAGACCCAAATGAACGCGGAATTACAAGTATGGAGCTAGGAAGCACACGCGCCTCCCAAAACGCCGCGGAACTTTGGACCGACTTGAGACTTCGACGCATATAAAAATGCCGAAGCAAACTAAACAAGAAACGAAAAGGAAAATATATTAATGATTCTAAAACTTGCAGTGTACGACAATTGAATTTAAATTGAAGTCGGAATGCCGCCAGTCTCAGATTTGGAGGCGTTGTCGTTGAACAATCAAAGCAATCTACGAGTAGTGTTGAATTGGTATGCGATTGGCGATCGGCGATCGGCGATCCACGGATCGCGGATGGATTGCCACGACTAGGCGATGACGCAGCGAAGAGTTCTACAATGACGACGGATCGACCTGAAATCGAAGAGAGCTGGGTGAGGAGAGGCGAATTCTCCCAGGAACAGATCCCACTTACCTCTGCGAATTCCTGGCCAAACGGAGAAAGGCTCGTTTGGTGCTGCTTGTAGAGCTCATACCGGTCCACGACCGACACCTGGCGATAGGAATCTGCCGAATAATGGGACACCATAATGCCCACGCCCTCGATCAGGGCCAAAAGGACGCCGCCCACCAGGGCGCTGCTCAGCATGGAGGTTAATCCTGCGGAATAGATAATTTTTGCCCTATTTTGAGACTGTATCTTGGGATTTCTTTCTGCTAGGAGGAAGTAATTCACCTGCAAGGATATACTCACCTCCTCGTGCAGCCAGAACGCCTCCGGTGGCCGCCCCACTAATTATCGAGTTCCACGGGTCCTCCATCTTCCGGTAATAGATCAGGGTGCAGTCAATGGCACTGAAGGTAGCGCCCCACACTGCAAAGTTCCCGCCCACCAAGGCGGATCTGGCCCGAACTGCTGCCAAACCACCGCTCAATCGGTGTATTATTCCGGAGGGAGCGTTGCGAAACCCCTTGATCGCCTGGAAGGCTCCTCCGCCCAGGGCGCCCATGGCAAAGGCTCCGCCACAATCTTCGATTATGCGAAAGGGACACGGCTCCCGGTCGTACTGCGTCATGGTTTTTGACTTTACGAGTTTGGAACAGTTCAGTCGAGCAAGTTGATTGCACGACGAATAATAAGTCGTTAATATAAAAGATAGTTAAGCCAGAGCCTACTTTTAAGGTCAGATATTGAAAACAGAAACCAATTAATAGTTGCTTACACGAACATACACTTTAGCCTACTCAGTTCGAACATCATGAGATTAGATCAAACATAATTTAAATTAAACATTAAGAAGTGTCACACCGAAGCGGTATAGTTCAGAGACACAAAGTTAGTATATATAAATCCACATTAAATGATTTCATTCTACTCTGAAGATCGTTTTTCCATGCACTTTATTAATCTATCAAGCATCTTAAGGACAAGTCTCATGAGAAATCGTGACTTCTCTCCGAGCATGTAAAGGCTAATCAAAATAAAAAACAAAAAACAAATCGCAAACCGTTTAGAAAACCATTTAAAATGCGACGTTTTGCCTTATTCGGACACTCGCCGATCGTCAAGATAATCTTTACAAAACGATAGCAAATGCACAACAAAAAGGCTGAGTGAAAAAGGCAAACGGGCAGCCAATAAATAAATTGTTATTACCCGGTTATGGTCACAATTCGAGCTGGAAATTTGTAAGTGATAAGGATCGCAACAGATTGCGCTCTGATCGCTACAAAGCCCAAAAATTCCATTCACAGTCGATCTTACAACCGTTTTGTGACTTTTCCAGGAGCAAATCGCGCAGCGTGGATCACGGCCTTGCGGCTCCGTTCGACTTGGACTCACTCCGCTCCAAAGTGGAGCAGCGCTTCGAGAGCGTCGACAAACTATCAAGTGAGTATTCAATTTGACAGGCCTACTAACTAACTAACTAACTTGATCTTGAAATGGGCGCTAAAATAATAAACACTCTCCAAACTACTTATTTGAAAATAAAAAAGTTTCTGCCTATGTAAAAATTCAGGTAAAGTAGGAGAATGGTCTCAATGGGGTGAGATAATATTACTTATTTACTAACTAGATCTTAAGATAAGCGCAGTCGAACTTTGTAAGGTAAAAAAGATTTTTTATTTCGCAATAAAAAGTGATTGTTTATAAGTGCAGGTAAAAAGGATTCTGTCATTAAATTTTACATTTATTTTGGTGGAATATGGATGTTATTATCATAGATAGAATGATAGAAGAAAATTAATATTCCTTTTAAAGAAATGAAATTGATATATATTTAAGAGTTTTTTTATTATATTTATTTATATATTTCATTTTTTCTTATTTTGTGTTAAATATATCTATAATTGTCTTTGACTTTTTAAATAGTTTACTTTTGCTTTAGGCTGAAATGTAAAATGTATGTAGAATTCAAAGATTCTCGCAATTTGCTATAGGCGTCGCTTGACAGACTTTGTCCGCTAGGTGACGCTATGTTTTAATACACGGACGAAATAAAGATGTCAAATTGACACTGTCAATATACTTTCAAGTACTAAATAAAGGCTCCATACAAATCTACTTAATAAAATATTTAAAAAAAATATAGAGAAAAGATTTTTGGGGCTATTTTTTTAATTAATTTATTATTATATTTTAATACAATTAAATAACTAAAACTATAAAACAAAATTTAATTTCATCTGCCCGGTTCTCATTATTCTAAATCTTAAAAGCATTACAATGCATTACAAATTTTTTATTATACCCGTTACTCGTAGAGTAAAAGGGTATACTAGATTCGTTGAAAAGTATGTAACAGATAGTAGGAAGCTTTTGCGACCCTATAAAGTATATATATTCTTGATCAGGATCAATAGCGAAGTCGATTGAGCCATGTCCGTCTGTCCGTCCGTCCGTCCGTCCGTCCGTCCGTCCGTCCGTCCGTATGAACGCTGAGATCTCAGGAACTATAGCAGATACAAAGTTGAGATTAAGCATGAAGATTCTTGAGGTCCCGGGACAGCGCAAGTTTATTACAGCATCATGCCACGCCCACTCTAACGCCCACAAATCGCCAAAAACTAAAAGTGCTGAAATCTCAGGAACTATTGCAGTTAGAAAGTTGAAATTCAAAAATTATAATCTTTAACTGGCAGCGCATCTTATAGTGGTACTACTATCCGGCCACACCCACCCATACGCCCACAAGGCTCAAAAGACGGTTTTCGGATTTTCTAGAAAAGCTGATATCTCGGTAACTATAAAAGATAGAAAGTTCGGATTCAGCATGTAGGTTTCTATTATGCTCCCAATGCGAATTGTTTTTTTTTCGATCAAGCCACGCCCACTCTAACGCCCACAAAACCTGAACAACCAAAAATGCAAAAATCTCAAAAACTATAAGAGCTACATACTTTTATTTAGGATCACGTATTTAGGAGATGCCTTGGCAACTTTCCATGAAGTTGCATCCGGCCACGCCTACTCTGACGCCCACAAACCGCGGAAAACTGTGGCGTCTATAATATTATTATGAATGCCTTTGTTTGACCTTGTATAACTTATTTTTGTTAATATCTATCGATTTACCAAAGATTTTTCAAATCGGAACATTATTTCGCTATTTATGAAGAAATTAAGGTTATAAGGCCTCACATGGGCAGTGACGTCACTATAAGCATACTCAACATACTTCCTCTGAAAATAGGTGGCGCCTTGTGAATTTCCACTAGCAAAATAATATTTTAAAATTTTGTAAAACAGTAACGGGTATCTTATGGTCGCGGCACTCGACTATAGCGTTTCCTCTTGTTTTTAATTTAAAACAATGCTCAGTACTCACAGATAATAACGGTGCTATCGTTTTTGAAACTTACAAACCTATGTAAATCAAATCATTATGTAATTATTTATAACAGAAAAGAACATTTAGCAGGGTTAGACATTTGTTACTATTACCTATAAGTAATATAATTGATTGATGAGTCAATGCAATATATTGACTAGTAAACGACGGGGTTACCATTACCCAATTCTTATCTGATTTTTCGGTATCAAGTTGCATAGTTTGATAACATTTGTGTTAGGCTGATTTTGTGTTTATCGTCAGTCGCGTAAGTTTTTCGCACGGTTCGGTTGCAGAATGTTACAGTTTAAAAATGCGCGCCCAAGCGTACAGCGTCTAAAAGCCTGACAACTTGACAAATATGATGAGCCAGCATTTTGAAGAATACAAATTATTGTAAAGTCAGCGGCAAAATGCTGGAAATTATTGAGATCTACTACGATATTAGTTCGAACGCGTTCTCGGTTATTTATCTGTGCCGGCAGCAGGTTCCGTCCGAGGGTGTTATCTTCTCCCAACTTCGACCCGATGGCAATTTGTTTGAAGTCTTCAAGCAACGTCAGCGTCCTCCAAAAATACTCCAACCGCCGAGTAACAAAATGCACGTGTGCCGCCATCGAATGTTATTAATTATTATTTCTTTTCGTTTCGCAGGGCAAAAGTCTTCATTGCCCACCATACCCACCATTTCCTACACCGTGGGCAATCGCGACACCCTGACCTCCGTGGCCGCCCGGTTCGACACCACGCCCTCGGAGCTGACCCACCTGAACCGGCTGAACAGCTCCTTCATCTACCCGGGCCAGCAGCTGCTGGTGCCGGACAAGAGTGCCAAGGACGACGCCTCCAGCAGCTCAACCCACGACGCCGACGGAGGCAGCCTGTCCGGCAAATCCAGTCCAGTAGAGCGCAAATTGTCCGGCGACGAGAGCCGTGAGAAAGGTAAGCCCAAGCCAAGGAAAAGCTCCGTGGAAATGGTGCAATTGGTGCGACGATAGTGAAGCATTTGCCATCATCGCCGCTTGCGGTTTTAGTTGCACGAGCTCTGCATGCCCACCAGGTCAAAAAAGCCATAACCAGGTGCACCATTTTAAAATTAAGTTCGTTTACATACATAAGTACAATTTGATCTCCAATCGTTATCCGATCTGCATTTTACTTATTTTTATATTACGCAAAAAAAATATTTTATATACATTTTTTTTTTAACTTTTCACAATTTTAAAAATTTTTTTAAATTTTTGTTTTTCGAAAACAAATATTTTTGCAAATACGCGTAATTATTTTGAAACTTTATCTTTCAATTATTTTTTTAAAAGTATTATTTTATACTATAAAAAAAAATTAATTTAAGGGGAATCACAAAAATCGTCTAAGCCGCTTACTCCAAAATAGATTTATATGTATGTATATATGTATGTAATATACTTTTGTATATAAGTACATAAATATGTACACATTTGCATTTATATACATACATAAATATTTACGACTAAATATATTAATATAAATAAAAAAAATATAAGCACCATTTCCAAAAAGGGCAAACCACATACATTAAATATTTTTATACACCTCATGAAATTTCTATGAACCCCATAAATAACAATGACGATTACAAATTTTGTTTATTGATGTAGCATTGCACAGAGAAAAGTAATACAATTTTTAAAAAACCATTAAGTTTCTATACTGCATACATATGTAGTACATACATAGTAGGTTAATCGGAAGTTTTTTTCTTGTTACACATAGTAAGGAAAATTATTTTATTTTATATAACTTTTATATCTTTAGCGGTTTTAGAACCATTTTAGTAATTTTTAAAAAGATAAAGAACACATTCATGAACCCCCTTATTTAATTTTCGTTGACTGAGTATATTTTTAGTATTTTTTGTTAGGCGGTTTATTTTAACTCTCGTAGCGTGGTCACATTGCCTAGCCAATGTTTTTTATTCTATAGAACGTGTTATTCCGCTGTTTTGCACTTAAAAAGGCGATAAAATCGAAACGTTCGAGTGCCGAAAGCCACGTAGAGAGAGCCGGATAATCCAAGACGTAGAGTGCTGCGGGACGTACTCAAGATCTGCAATTTCAGCATGCACACTGCTGTCTTCTGGCGCAATGGAGGTTACTGTTTGTTTTTTTAACCATTGTTGTCTCTCCGATCTGTTAACAAGTGTTAATTGCGGTTGACAAACTGTTAGCCTTGGAAGGTGCCGGTTTTCCGGAAGCCAACGGCTACCCACGGGTCACGTTTACACGGGCTTATCCCTGGGAATTGCATCCCGGTCGTAGCATTTGTTAATTGGCCTATGCATCTAAGATTTTTGTTATGATTTTTCGGAATTTACAAGCCAATTATTAAAACTAGTTACAATCAGAAAATATTATTAATGTGAATTTTTCATTCCGGAATTTATCAGGTCTATACATGTGCGAATACACAAAAATACCCTGTGAGAATATTCACTTTTATTAATAGTTTAAGCTTTATCCTAATGAGATTCCGGAAAAAAAGGCGTACACTATAAGTTATCTCCGTACCCAACTTTTCGTAGTAAAAACGTGACAATGACTTAGAACAACAAAGGAGGTCACAAGGCGCAGATTTAGTTTAAACTATCCCATATATCAATTTTGCTTTCACTATCTTATCGCCGGCCACGGGTGTAGTTGATAAAAATCACAGCCCAGCAGCAACAGCCCTCCGAAAGCACCCCGCACCCAATAAATATTATATTAATTAAATGCCGTTTCTTGTAGACCAATATATTATATTTTTTGCACCCGAAGACATACTAATGAAATGCCGTTCTTTGCAGACATACTTGAGGGCCTACGCCCCGGATCCCCGAAGCCAGGACACATCGAGCGCGTGGGCGGCAATAGCCAGCAGCAGGCGGAGGAGGAGGCCAACAA